TATTTTCACCTATACAAATAATACTAATAACCAATACTTGTAATTTTAGTGTTTAGAAATTTCTTCACATAAACAATTGCATTTGTTCTTCAAAAAATATCCTATTCAGTAAAACCGATTTTCATTTTTTATGATGCCAGATTAGAATCTAGAGAATACAGAAACTAGCTCAAGCTAAGGTTACAGTCAAAACTAGAACACAGCAGATTCTCCCGACTACAAGTCTAATGCCAGTCCCTGTAGCTTGGATCTCTTCCTAGAGTCCTAGGAAGTAGCAACTTTATTCTCTAGAGCTACGATATGATATAAGAAAAAACTAACCTCTCCCCACCGCTGGCCCTGTTTTTTAAAATGTCACAGTCAGAGGACCCAGGAAAATGTTACAGCTACGATTTTTTTTTCTCAAGGGTTTAATCTTGATTTTGCTTCAGTGACATTTGATTACTTCCTGGTGAGGGAGAAAAAGAACACTTCAAGTCTTATAAATGTATCAGCTTTGTAGCAGGATGTCTTCTGCGATCACAATTCACCTCTACTCTTATCTCATTCTTGGTTACTCAACCTAATTAGATGTGTAGATAAGAATGAGCTTCAGAATGAAAGCCTGGCAGGTTAACATTCTTCACTGACAGGAAGACCCCCTTGTTCCCCCCTCCTGTCTAGTTCCTGTCACCAATTTTGAGAGAAAGATAACAAAAAGGACAGTGAACTTATTAAAAACAAAATGAAATATTGAGCTATCTACACCACAGCATGGAACTCATTCGAAGGAAGAAAAATTCTAGGAAAAAAAAATTTCTGTAGAGGAATAAAATGGATGTGAATGTCCTTTTCAATGTGAAAGAACAATGTCAGTGGCTAGAATTCTAGTCTCGGTCGATATCTTCATACATAGAGATGCAATTTTATTAGAGGAGTTTGTAAATACAAAGGAACTTAAATTTCAGAAAGAATACGAGAATGTTTGCAGAAATTATTTTTATCTTTGTCCTTTTGTCACATATAGACCAAAATGTTGCTGAAGTTGGGTTGAGACTGGGAGGATGCCTAGAAGAGCTGAGCATGAAATGAAGCAGCGGCATTCACATTGAGAAACACTAGTCTTAGCAGCTGTCAGTTGGTCTCCCTTTAATGCTGAGCCATTCCCTGAACTGAATTGAATGCAATGTCACAGGATATAGCAGACTGGAGGGTAGGAGTTTAGAACCTCTCTGCTAACTCAGTTCATCTGAGAGCAATATTTACAAAAGTACATTTCTTAGCCAGATATACATTCCAAAAACATGTTATTTCCTCTATATGGAAATATAGACAGCATTAGAAAAAAAAAGTCCTAGGAAACCCTGCCATAAAGGAAATTTTGTTTAAGCTGGTATTTCCCAAATTTATTTAATCATAGAACTTAGTTTTTGTTTTTTTTTTTTCTCATATCATACCTATTTCTGTCTCTTGAAATTAGCATTTCACTCTGCACACTTAGGTAAATGCTGGTCAAGAATAAGACAATCTTTATAGTTCTCAAGTATTCACCAAGGAAATGTGCCATGCAGAGGTGGAAAGAGTTTTAAGGTTATAAATGCTTTACATGGCATGTGAGATTATACCTACAGGTAATTTTTACAGTAAGGCCAATGAACCCCAAAGTCTCTAAAAATGCCCACAGCAATATAAGAAAGAGAGCACCCATTTCGGTTGTACCTTTAATGTTTATGTGCCCCAAATCATCAGGAACACCCCTGATACTAATACCACATAAGAACACCAGAGCAAACAAGAAGTTTCTAGAGAAAGTTTCTAGAGAAAATAATCCCCTTTGGAGATTTTATTATATAGAGCAGCAGGGAGTGCATCTTGAACTGTCAACCCACCACACAGGCAGGATGTGCATTGTTTATTGAAAAAACAAGTCACAGAAGACACTAGAGAAATCAATATGGAATGCAGGAGAACATCAGATTAAATTTGAAAATGATGTGAAGACAATTAGAACAATATAAATTATAATTAAGAAAGTACTTTCAGAATCTCTCTTTTTTTTCAAATTAGAAAATTTAAAATTGGAACACACAATGTTGGTCTGTGTTGCATAGAAATTACATTATATATAATTACTAACTGGATTACTCATTTATTTAAATTTAAAACTATATTAGAAATCACTTGAAGAATAAAGAACTAGGAATCAAAAAAAAACCACAAGGAAATTCATTTCAATATATGAGCAGTTCAAAATTAATAGACAAAGATAAAAGGTTTGTAAACTAATGCAGTTGACTTTGGTAAAAGAAACAATTTCCATAATTCCCATACACAACTCCATGTTTAGAGGAGGCAATTCCCTGGCATTTTATTTTTATTTATGTATTTATTTTTTTACCTTAAGGCCCCTTTCACCCATTATTTGGATTATTTAAATAAAAGTACGGGTACTGGAAGCTTTATGTTTTTACTATGCAAAAAATGAACTTTATTGACACTTATGAACACTATGCTTGAAAATAACAAGGAAATAATCTTCCTGGAGAAGAAGATTATTGCAAAGATGTTCTCCCCAAATTTGTCTATAGGTTTAATGTAATTGCAATCAAATGTTTATTGGGACTTCTTTGAAACTTGACAAAGTTATTCTAAATTTTTTCTACAAGGATAAATAGGTGATAAAAGGAAATAAACTATGTTTTTAATTCATTTTAAAAAAAGATTTATTCATTTATTTGAGAGAGAGAGAGTGCACACAAGCGGGAGGGGCAGAGGAAGAGGGAGAGATCTGAAGCAGACTCCACGCTGAGCGCAGAGCTGATGCAGGGCTCGATCTCATGACCCTGAGGTCATGACCTGAGCTGAAACCAAGAGTCGAATGCTTAACTGACTGAACCACCCAGGCGCCCCAGAAATAAATTATTTAAGAGATCATAAAAAGAAAGAAATAGAATAAGAAAACATAAAAAAAAAGAAAACATAAAATTGTAGGATTTAAACTGCATGGCACTAGAACAAGACCTGAAATATACAGACACATAACAGAATATGATCTGAATACAGGCTGCAAAAAATAAATAGCTACAGAATGATTATTATTATCAAATGAAAAGATGGGAAACTTGCTAAATTAAATGAGGGGAATCAAATTAGATTATAATTACATAGCAAAAAAGCAAAACCTAGATGAATTAAAGGAGTAAATGAAAAAGCTGCGTATTTACGTGTAACTCCTTCTCCATTACAAAGAAGAAAAAGAAAATGTAGGTGAATTTTTTATGGAGTTCATAATGTGGAAAGACTGAAAGTGTAGAACCAATGGAAAAAATTTTTAAGAAAGAAAGTGTCTCATATACTCAATGGATAAGTAAAATTAAAATATAAGCAGACATGTAAATAATTAATATGAATATAATAAGGTTGTTATTTGGCATTCAGGTGGTTTCCAACTTTTTGCTGTTATAAACAGTGCAATATTTTGATTCGTTCTTTAAATGCTCTCAGCAGAGGGGCGCTTGGGTGGCTCAGTCAGTTAAGGGTTGGACTCTTGGTTTTGGCTTAGGTCATGATCTCAGGGTCATGAGACTGAGCCCCAAATTGGGCTCTGTGCTCAGCTTGGAGTCGGCTTAAGACTGTCTCTCCCTCTCCCTCTGCCCGCCTATAAAATAAATAAATAAATCTTAAAAAAAAAAGATCTCAGCAGAATTGCAACTACTGGGTCAAAAGAGTGATAATTTCTAAGTTTCTTTATATACGTTACACAACGTGCTTTTCAGAAGCTATGTTGTGATTTACATTCCCCAAAGCAGTACTTGTTCAAATTTCACCATGGTTTCAAGGAATAAAAAAAATAAAGACAAAAAAGGAAAAAGAAAACTTACATGGCTATCATTTAAATCAACATCTTTTTGAATATTAGTGACTATGAACATATTTTCAATCATTCTTTGGCCATCTGCAACTTACTCTTTGAGAACTGCTGTTTACACTCTTTTTAATGTGTTACAAAGAAATTGAAAACAAAGACTTTAAAGTCATACACAAGGAGGTTTAGCTTTGCCATTAAGCAACTGTTTTGATTTTATGTAAGTTAATTTTTCTGAATTGCAATCTCCTTGATTCAATAAGAGTAATAATAACACCCACACTATGGAGTTGTATCAAATGAAATAAAAAAATGAGATTTAGGATGCTGATAGAAATAGTACAATAAATAGAATAAAGTCATGAACCCATTTGTATTGGGATGTTAATAGTTGTTGCCAATTCCAGTTAGTATTTTTGTATTATGTTAAGATAATTCATATTTTATCATGTTTACCATAACTATTATGACTAATTTAATGTAATTAAAATATTATTTTAAGCAAATTAATATTTTTTGAGTTTTAGATTTTTAAGCAACTTCATTATTTCTTATGCCTTAGATTTTCTCCTATTCATCAATGTGCAGGTGGGATGATTAATACATAGTACAAATAGACATACACCCTCTAATAAATTTTCAGGGAATCATTAGCTTTGTGAAGATGCAATTATTTTTCATGATTATGAATAGCTTTAGCATACTATTTATTTTTAATTTTCCAAAATCTTCTTAGACTCACACACTTATTTTTTTTAAAGATTTTATTTTTAAGTAATCTCCACACCCAATGTAGGGCTCAAACTCACAATCCAGAGATCAAGAGTTGCACACTCTACTGACTGAGCCAGCCAGGCACCCCTCACACACTTAAGTATTAAGTGGTCAAAATGACTTTCGAACATTCAAAATCTCAAAGACAAAATATTTTACAAGTTGTATTTATGTGCTATGGAATGAAAAACAGTAAAGATATAATGAATATATATAAAGATTATACTATCCATGTATTTCTATCAACTTATTAAAATTCATGCCCAAATATTTAATTGTGTAATTGTTATTAAATATATATTAAGATAAGAGACATATAATTTCATCATCTCTGAAATATAAAAGCATATAGAATGACAGAATATAAAGTTGAAATCCATACCTTGTGTGTGACTCAGACCACTAAACTTGAAGGCAGAAGTCTCATGGAAGAAGCTATCCCAGTAACAGTCAATGACGAGATGCCTAGGTTTTTCCTGACCTAATAAAAATATAAAGAGATATTATTCCTCAAGGTCACATTCAAGAGGAAAAATAGCAGTGGAGATGGAAATAGAATCAAACCCTCCTCTAATGGAAAATTTCTCAGATGATTATTTTTCAAAGTATATTTTAAGATGAGATTTAAATCCCATTTTTGAAGAACATATCCAACATTATAAAAGTTTTCTCTATATTAAAAATATTATAAAATCAACTCATACATTCTTAGAACTTAATGTAAACTACTCAAATAACAGATATTATTGAGAGTCTGCTTAAGCCCACTGTCTAAAAATGGATTCTAATAATTAATACTTACATGTTTAAATGTATATGCATTGACAATAATTTAAACCAATAAATACAAAATCAATCAATTACCTAAAACGTACTGGCTACCTAACAAGTACTTGCCTTTAGTGCTACCGTGTATAAAAGACAAAAATCTCGGGCGCCTGGGTGGCTCAGTTGGTTGAGCGACTGCCTTCGGCTCAGGTCATGATCCTGGAGTCCCGGGATCGAGTCCCGCATCGGGCTCCCTGCTCGGCAGGGAGTCTGCTTCTCCCTCTGACCCTCCCTCCTCTCATGTGCTTGCTCTCTCTCATTCTCTCTCTCTCAAATAAATAAATAAAATCTTTAAAAAAAAAAAGACAAAAATCTCTGTCAGCATAGGCATTTATAATTTTAAGTACCTTGAACTAGATATCAGCTGACACTGTCCTTGGAAAGGAATGGGAGTGCATGTTACAACCCCTATGAAAGGGATTTTTGTAACCTATGGTAAAATTGTATATATATTTACTATTTTGCCAGTCAATATTGCTTATAGAAATGCACCTTAAATATAGACCTCAAACATGAAACAATATACATGTAAGGGCATTATTTGTATAGCAATATGCATTGGGGCATTATTTATATGGCAAATTATTAGAAATGATGAAAAGGTCCATGTATTGGTGACTAGCTGTATATAAGCAATAATGTAGCGAAAACTGAGGTACTAACAAGTCATAAAAATCAATGAGAAAGGTGTCCGTTAACTATTTTACTGGGATTCCAGACATATACGTATTGTTAGGTGAAGTTAACAAGGTGCAAAAGAAATGATATGGTATTGACCTCTGCATGAGATAGAGGATGACAGGGGACTAGGTATGTATATATGCACTTATTCATGTACACTCATTTTTGTAAAACCAAACGCAGTATAGATAAATTAGAATCAAACAAAGATGAAAATCGTTACCTACACAGTTGGTTGAGAATGTGGTAGATGGTGTAGGTACGGGAATGAAATTTCTTTCAGAACTTTTTATATAGCTTTGAGTTGTAAACAATACATGTTTCACAAATTCAAAAATACAACTGAATTTAAGAAGCCTCAAAAAGCAACCTTAAAACTTTTTGTAATTGTAAGAATATAGTAATTTTGACAATATTAGCTAAAATATTGACTATGATAGAACAAATGAATTACACTGTTGTGTTGAGAACCAGGTTTCTCATGTGGGAGAAGGAAGAGAGTGTGAGGTAAATTTAAGAAGAACCCTATGGTGCAGGATTGAAAGGGAGATAATCAGTATGAAACATTTTTTTTTTTTAAGGAGGCTCCATGCCCAGCGTGGAGCCCAAATGCAGGGCTTGAACTCATGACCCTGAGATCAAGACCTGAGCTGAGATCAAGAGTCGGACACTTAATGAACTGAGCCACCCAGGTGCCCCGAAACAATAATTTGTAATAATTCTATTTGCTCTGTCCCCTGAAAGGGACATCCCAGCAATAGTGAGCACATCTAGTGCCCATTTCTTGGATATTAAATACCTTGTCCCTATAAAGCAAACCTTAGAAAAGTGTCTAATTCTAGCTTTAAAACTAGTTAAGTGGTGAAATTGGAACATCTTGTGCCAGAAAGTAACAAAGTGTTCAAAAACTAATAGAGACAATTCAAAAGAACTAGGGATTGACTTGCAAAGGATCCTGCTGGCCAAACTGGGGAGTATCCAAAAGAATAAGAATAATAACTAATAATAATGATAATAACAATAGTAATAATAATAAACCCATGAAGACAAAGTTGCTCCACTCCTCCTAGGTTCTCCCTCTTACAACTAAAACTTGTCAGATGTAACATAACAGACAAGCATGGGGAGACTTTGCAAGCATGGGAAGAAGAAGGTAACTTGAGGAACAACATGGTGGTGAGTTCCTGGTTTCTTTTTCTTTTCTTTTTTAAAGGAGGCTCTATGCTGGGCATAGAGCCCTATGGAGGGCTTGAATTCACGACCCTGAGATCAAGACCTGAGCTGAGATCAAGAGTTGGATGCTTAACCGACTGAGCCATCCAGGTGCCCCAAGTTCCTGGTTTCTATATTGCCTCTTATATATACCGGACAAGGCACTGCAGAAGCCTTGAACCCAGATCAGCTAAGAGGGGTAGACAAAAAAAAAGAGGAGGCAAGCTGATCTTCCAGCTCCTGCTGGTAGACACAGGCAGCACTCCAATTCTCTTGCTGGGTAGCAGGCTGAGAGAAAGGGTTGCAGGGTAGAGTTTATCTGAATGAATGAATGAATGAATGAATGAATGAATGATTAAAAATGGTCCGACAATATTCTGTCCACAAGAAACTTCTTCAAATTTAGTGACCTTGGTAGTGTGAAAGAAAAAAGATGGAAAAAGATGTATCATACAAATGTTAATTATAAGAAACAGGAATGATTACATTAACATCATATAAAATAAATTTCAGAGAAAACTAAATTACTAGAGACAAAGAGAGGCATTACATAATATAAAATATTGATACATGAGGGAGACATATAATCCTAACATGTCTATAACAGATAACAGAGCCTCAGCTTACATGAAGCAAAAATTGATTGAGATGAAAAAAGAAATGAACAAATACACAATTATGGCTGTGTGCTTTAACATCCCTCTCTCAGCAACTGATAGAACCACAGTCAAAATCAGCAAGGATACAGAGGACCCAAATAACAAATAACAAATAACAAAATATTTCCTTATATTAAGGAAATAAAAGCTTTTTCCTCTGCTTTCCTCCCCCGCCCCCTTTCTATTTTTAAGTGTGAGTACAGCTTCATGGATTTTTTTTTTCTTTTACATCTCAGCTTTTATTATTTTCAAATCCCCATCACATCATCACATTTATTCACAGAATATTTGCTATATAAAAGCATATGGGGATCTAAATTCAGAAGACACAAGCTATGTGACTTTGGGCAAGGAACTTCTTTTTTTTTTTTTTTTTTGGCTTCTGCATCTCCTTACACTCTGGGGGATGCACCAGGTAATAGCTAAGGTTGGTTTTAGCTAGTGATTCTATGATTCTTTGACTACCGAACATGCATTGTCTGATGGCCCACACTTTATTCAGAGGAGGCTACTTGATCTCTTTGTTTAAAACAGTGTCATTACCATTTTATTTCTGAGTAATTTCCCTGAGTATGGGAAAACAAAAACATAACAAATGTTAACAGAACTGATTTTGAAACCTATCTCTTTCTTCTCTGGATTTCTCTGTATCCAGATCTCCAGTAAGACCTTATGGCTTTTAAAAGCAATTAAAAAAAATAGGGGCACCTGGGTGGCACAGTCAGTTAAGCGTCCGACTCTTGATTTTGGCTCAGGTCATGATCTCAGAGTCGTGAAATCGAGCCCCAAGTCGAGCTCCATGATCAGCGCAATATCTGCTTGGATTCTCTCTCTCTCTCTCTGCCCCTTCCTGCCCCATTCTCTCTCTCTCTTTCTTTCTCTCTCTCTTAAATAAATAAATACATTTTTTAAAAAACACCCAAGGGCGCCTGGGTGGCTCAGTTGGTTAAGCGACTGCCTTCGGCTCAGGTCATGATCCTGGAGTCCCGGGATCGAGTCCCACATCGGGCTCCCTGCTCAGCAGGGAGTCTGCCTCTCCCTCTGACCCTCCTCCCTCTCATGCTCTCTGTCTCTCATTCTCTCTTGCAAATAAATAAAATCTTAAAAAAAAAAGAATCTCCAGCTAATAAAAAACAGCAAGGATGATAGACATAATAACTGATACTAGTATGGATACTAAAATGTTTCATCAAGTGAAAGGTTGGAAGGGAAGGGGTTATTCACATTGTTTCAAATTATCACCCCGACAATTATTTATTAGTTATAAGGGAGAAAGATGACCTTTACAATATAAAGATCTGGCAGACACAACCTTAACCAAGTGATTAAACTTAGCATCCCCAATAATGGGACTTTGTGTCTCCTGATGTGTTGCAATAAGCACACAGTATGTGATATTCTTCCCAAAATGTTAGTCAGAATTGAGTAATGAAGAAACAAAGATAAAGTAAAACAAAGTACATCAATGCAATGTAGTATTATAGAACTGTTAATATATTTATGTAGTTCTGTATGTCCTAACATGGAATAATCTCCAAGGTATGTAATGAAAGAGAAGTTTTTGTACAAAAAAACCCCGAAATCCATAATGTGCAACATTCTATAAAACAACTGGCCTGGACTCCTCAAAATGCCAATATTATAAGAGATAGAAAAAGGTGGGAGGAAATTTTTAGCTTAAATGAGACTTAAGAGATCTGATAACCAAATGCAATGCACAATTCTTAATTGGATCCCAGATTGGAAAAAAGATAAAATTTTTAAGTTCTAAGGAACATTTCTGGGACAACTGGAGAAGTTTTACTGTGGAGTATATATTAAATATTAACATATCTATATTAAATCTTTGTGTATGATATGGCATTGCAGTTATGTTGGAGAAAGTCCTTTCTCTAAGGCCATAGATGCTTTAGAGATGAAATTATATATCTATAGATAGAGACAGGATATAAAGCAAATTCCCCCCAAATTAACAATTGACGAAGCAGATGAATCTATATGAAAACTATAGGACTAATCATTGTACTGTGCTCTTCTACAGGTGTGAAATTTTTCAAAATAGAAAGTTGTGTCTTAAAAAAAAGTGTCTTAGGGGGACAAA